CCACGCGGGCATGAGTGTGACGGCTATGGGCTGCTTCTCCAACACTGACGGCGGGAACAGGACCTGCGAACAGGTAGCGCTGTGAAAAGCGCTCTGATGTGATCTGTGCCCGTCACACATAAGACAGCAGGAGCCAGTCATTACGGGCCTGCATCTACAGTACATTTTTATCCTAATACAATATTAGTCAATTTTGAGCAGAATATTTGTTTAAAGGAGAATTTCAATTATTTGTAAATAATTTTACTTTAATGACTGATAAACACTGGTGTTGAGGTACAATATAGACATTTTACGTCATTCCTATAAAATCTACTGACCCAGGCACATACATACCAGATAAGTGTGTAAGTGTATCAGTGCTCAAAAAGGTGTCGTTAATGACGTTTTATCCGTATACTTTCTATAAAGCATAAACTGAAAGACAAACCCATAGAGCAGAGCAGTGAGTAAATCGCTTGTGATAAAACTGTCAAGGAAAAACGATCAGCGACTGGGTCCCTCAACCACTGCTGCTCACCAGTCTTCCATCTCTATTGTGCCTTCTGCAAACTCTTCATCCTACTGTAATGCATTTTTTACGCAAAATCTTTCATTTCCCTTATCTTTCCCTCCAGCTGTAACGCTGGGAGACAGCAATTGCACATGATTAGTCTTTTTTTTCCCCCCTTAAAATCCCAGTCACCTGTCTCTCCCCCTCACCATGCCTAAGGACAATATTACATTTGTTCTCTGAAGAAAACCCAGCATTTTTAAAGGAGAGTTTTACAGACAGCCGTAGGGGAAACGCCGGTTAAATACCCCTCTATACCCCCAGTGCTGAAGGAGAAGATCTACAGGAAGCCGGCTGAGTGAACCCCATCCCCGGTTGGCCTGGCCTGCTCAATCCCGCGTGGACAACACCAGCCCCCCCCCTCGGGGTCAACACACCAGGCACGTGCAAAAAATAAATAAGACAAATTCTGCCAGGTCTATCACTTACCAGCAGCGGCCAGGAAGAGCAGAGGGACAGAGCAGCAGATTAAGAGCAAGCCCTTCATCTCGGCTGCCAGGAGGACTGTTACATGTGGGCAGGCTATATATATACACCAGGGAGAAAAGGTCAAAGGTCGTGGGGAGGGAGGCAAGGACATCTAAGGGGAAGCATGGCGGACGCAGGAGTGAGACGTCAGTGAAGGCCACTGGCTGTTGTGGATCAGAGCAGCTGCCTCTCGAGATAGGCAGCAGGGGGCGATGTCAAGCACAATGATGGGACTGTAGTTTCTTGCTGGAACTATGAAGGCAAAATGAACGGAGCTGCAGCGGAGCCAGAGGGGGGGTGCGGGATTTCCCCGGGGTGGACTTGAGGAGGATGACAGATGTTTCGGAAAACCAGCCGGATCAGGAATTTACCGACACCTACACATGGCTAAAAAACAAAATGTCGCTCTGAACCTTTTATTTTAATGAATTATTTGATGGTTATTCTCTCAAATTTGCACAAAGAGACAAGCAATAATTAGTTGCTTCTGGGCAAGTTACACAGACCTGAATTTACTTATGCTACAAAGTAAGGATGTCTTGTTTTTCTTATATCAGAAATGAATGTTGAAGCATTAAAAATGCATATGACTGTTGCAGTGTTTTTTTTTTATTTATGGAGAACACTTTAAAAGCTAAAAACAGGGCAGCAGTCAATAAACTGTCATCTGGCACTAAATTTAAGATGCTGCATTTGTAAAGCTGTTAAGAATATTTGTACCGATCATAAATCCGATCGTAAATCCGAAACGTTAGACTAGCTAAACAGAGCTGTGAGTTTGGAGGAAGTCCCAGTACAAGTGGCCCCCCCTCCTCCCAGGGAGAATGGAAAGCAGATGTACCTGGTAGCACTTGGTGATGGACAATAAACGTGGCGTCATACATCAAAACTCGACGGCAGAATGAAGTTAGGAAAATCTCAATGGGAGGGCGCCGAGGCATTAACGTGCAAGTAGGAAAGCAGGTGCAGCGTTAGCGTGTTGTTATTGGGTGTCGTCAGGTGTTGTCTGCGATTACCGTTAACATTTAGCATTAGCGTTAGCATGCAGGATGGTAACCGGGCGAACAGCTGGTTCGCGGCCTTACAGGATGTAGTAGACAGACATAAGTGTTTGCGCTGGGTGGAGCTTCCGAGTTTGCGGGAAGGTGGGGGAGCATATTTGACCAGGTCGGGGTGAAAGATGCCCATGTTTTAGCTGTCTAAAAGAGTCATGAGGTTTGTTCCTTGTATAATCATAAACATCATTAGTACTTTGGGTGGATGCTAGAGCAAGCAGGCGATTTCCTGCAGAATACCTGTGTCTGTCTCACTCACCACAACCTTCTGCCTACTCACTGTCAAGGGATATCGGATTTCCTTCACGGCGCGGTTGGCAGTTTAAATTTAACTATGCCAGATGACCTTTCACCTCTGCTAGGGTGGAGGGTGAACTTTACATAGCTGGTCTCCACCCCAGGGTGCTTTTTCCAGGGAAAAATTGCAGAGTAGGATTCCCAACTCTCTAAACCCCGGAAAAACGATAGCAGGGACGTCAACCTCCATTGATGTCCCGCCAATCTGCCGCCTAGCGAGAGGAACTCTGTCGTGTCTGGAATGTAAGGCTCCGAATGAGTTCAAATTTCCTTCCCTGTTAATTTGTGCTGCACCAGGTTAGTCTTCAAGAAGCTGTCGACGTTAGACATCTTGCCTTTAACCAGTGTGCTTGAGGTGCTTCAGAAGAAGCCTGTTATCTCCCCATTCAATAGACCTTCAACAGCTTTGGTGGCTGTGTTGAGTAACACTACGGTCTTACACCACCAGGGTGGAGAATTTAAATCCTACCCCAGGTAGTATGTGAAGTTTCACCCTGTGTTTGCAGGTCCTCCCACAGTCCAAAATGATGGCAAACTGGTGCCTATAGTGTCCAGGATGTCAGGATGTGCTTCCTGGTATAGGTTCTAGAGCAGGACTGGAGATACACCACCCTACAGAGCTTAGGTACAACCCTAATTTAACACACCTGGTACAGATAATCAGGCCCTTCAGTTGCACCTCAGTACTAGAGCCAGCTATGTTGAAGCTTAAGTTAGCTCTAATACTGAGATGCTACTGAAGGGGCTTGATTATCTATATCAGGTGTGCTAAATTAGGGCTGTTCCTAAGCTCTGCAGGATGGTAGCTCTCTAGCGTTGGGCAGCCCTGCTCTAGACTCATTAAGGGCCTTGACTAGATGTGGTGTACCTAGAGCCGATATGCCTGTTACACAACACGTCGGGTGTACGCAGAGTGAGCTTTGAAACACACAAAGTTGCCAACACCTCAATCAGCCTTACTCCATATGTCTTTAGCAACACTTTTTATAAATGAGTAATGGCTGACTTGGCTTAGGGGAGAGGCTTTACACTTAAAACGGCAAATAAATGTACAATTAATTTTAATTAGCCGGGCTTTACTGTGTTCCTTGGAAGAATGCTTCAGTCATCGTTTTTTCATTCAACCACAAACGGCACACAAAAACACACACAGGAAGCAATTACTAAAAAACAAAGTACAAATTTTATTACTCTTTATCAAAGGCATGAACCTCTTTTTTCCCTTTTTTTTTTAAACAAAATATAATAGCTTCTTAAGACCACAAGGACCAACAAGTCAAAATAATAATAATAAAAAAAAAATACAAAATAAAACCAAAAAAAGTCACCCAATGCAATATGTAAAAAGGAAAAAGCAAGTTAGGGTTGTGAGAGATGGACTGAGAGAGGGCGGCGGGAAGGGACTGCGTGGGAAATGGACGGACTGAGCGGAACGTGTCAAAAAGAGCTTCATCACCACCATCATCATCAGAGATCCGTACAGGTTAAAAAAAGTACAGTAAGTGCATCAGTGTCAATGATCCCCATGGCAACCGTCTCCCACAACAGAACTCTGATGTCGTTTGCACACATTTCTAGAAGCACAATTTTAAAAAGCTGCCCCCCCATGACCTATGTTAGAACACATCCCCAAGGAAGCGGTTTTTGGGTTAATACCAGACCAAAAAAGCTGCGTTTCAGCTGTCCGTTTTTTCCCATTTCACGCTGCCCAATTTCCACTGTATTTATCACCTATAACCCCTGGGACCATTAACCATTTTGGCATAAGCCAGTAGACGGTGGAGGGGGAATTCGGGTCAAAATAGCCCCCGTCCACATTACAGAGAAGCGCAAAACTCAAACAAAACATGAGGAAAAAAAATATATCATAATTTAAATTGGATTTTAGTATTTGTCACGAGAGCAGCTCAATGACCTGAAGGAGAAAAACAAAACTACATCTCAGCATGTAGGCGGCCTTCTGAAGCCACGGCAGGGGATGTTTAGGGGAACAGACCCCTCAGGGTCACTATGGGAGTGCGGGACACTGTGGACCGGTCACGGGCCTCCACAGATGCCTTAAACTCTTGTCCATCTTCCTGAAAAAGAGCAAACGAATGAATGAGACTGAAACGCAAACCGGGCGGCATGGAACGGCGGCGAGGAGCCACGTCTCTCCGAAACCCGCGCGCGGCCGAAAGCCTCCATCGCCATCAGTGACACGCAGACGCGGCTGCGCCCCTCCTCAAAACGAGCCGACAACGTCAAGGGCGAGTTCAGCCGGAATGACGGGCGTCACTCACGGACCTCCGTGGGGCGCCGCTGAGCCCAATTTGGGGTCTCCGCTTCCGACAGGCGGCTCCTGGGGACCTATGCATAGATAAACATGCCAAGGGGCCAGACTGCACCCCCAGGCAGCCATTAACACCTCAACAGGAGATAAATACAGGGAGCTGACAAGCCAGGCAGTATCCAGGAGCAATCGGTCACCGGTGACACTTCTATGTGACTAGACATGTGCACAAAGTGAGGAGGCTAAGATGCATGGCTGTATGTGCAGGTAATCGGGGGCACAATTCACGGAAAAACACAGTAAATTACGTTAAGTGCACCACTGCCCCCCCCCGCCCCGCCCCCCCAGACCCCTTTTCACCACATGGGCACCAATGCAGACACCCCCTAACCAAAGAGGGGCCTCAGTCACGCTGCGAGATTTGTCGGTCAGCTATGTAACTTGTTGGATTTAAGGTGCCTCAGTCTGAATGGACTTTCTCTTTGTTCACTCACATTTTGCTCAGACCACCTTAAATCCGACAAGTTGTCTTGCTAACCCTAAAATCTAGCTTCGTGGAGGTTCACCAGGACACAAAGAGCAAGCGACTGTCCACAAGCAAGCTAGCTACTCTGGTCATCCACGGGAACCTCGTGGAGCTTAGCCGGCAGACCAATCCCAATGTCCAAACTAAGCTCTACAAACAGACGGCAAGTCTTCCAGAGGGTGGGGGGGGGCATATCTTGGGTTGTGACAGCCCCAGGATGATCCGGAGTCTTCTGTTTGCTCTCCGTTTTGATCACAGCGATTCAGGCATTTTTGGTCTGACACGTGGGGTTATGAATCAAGAGCTTGAATGGGTTTTTACAGATACGCGCGGCGCAGTATGCAGGAAATCTACAGGCATTCTCCAGTGCCCCCCCCCCCAGAAGAAGGAGGGGGAAAAAAAAAGAAATAAGAGAAATGCAGATGGAGATGATTGAGGAATGGGGGCAAGCTGGGCCCCGGTGCAGTGTTGTCCATGACAGTGACACCAGCCCGTCACTGGGAGGGGGCTCTGTCTCCAGCAGTGCATCATGGGATTGTGTTTGACTGAGTTGGGCCTGGTGAAGGGATGAGATAAGGTCTGCTGATTGTATTAGACCCCCCTCCCCCGTGCACATTGAGGGCACCGGGGGGTCATGGGTTCCCGCTCAGGGCAGCGGACTGTCCTCCTCCCTTTCCTCTTCCTCGGGACCCTCGCTGTCAGAGTCGGGGGGGCCGCGTCCTGCAGCGATGATGATAGCACGCCGCTGCTCCTCATCCACCCGGCCAGCCTTGTCCTGCGTCCCTTCAATATGCTGGATGGCCTACAGGTGGAGGGGAAGGGGGGGGTCAATAAAAATTAGATAAAAACATCACTCCAAATGATATCATTCTAAATGACAGCCTGGAATGGCCTGCTCCCCCCCCCCCACCTGCACGATAGTGTCCAGGTTCTGCCGTGACGTAGACACTGTGTTGATGACGGAGGCTGGGGTCATGGTAACCACGGTAACGTGGTGGGGCACTGGAGCGGGGACAATCACTGTGGGGTGGTGGGTGGGGGCCGGGGGTGTGAGAGGGCCCAGCACCTGTCAGGGTTCAACATTAATATAATTATCATTACAATTATTATTACAGAGACATTTGCATGACATCAGTGGCTCTGGCGCCCCCTACAGGCCACATGCAGGTCCCACCTGAGGGCTGTGTGGAGACAGCTCCTCCTTGGGTGACTCCTGCTGCTGGTGCTGCTGTAGCCGAAGCAGCATCTGCGTCTGCACATGCTGCTCCTGCACCTGCTGAGCGATCACCTTCAGCTTCTCCGGGTACAGGTGGGCGTCCAGGGAGCGGATCTGGGGTCACATGACGGCAGATACGGTCAAGCGACAACTCGGCAGAAAAGCTAATCGGACTGGAGCAGCTGCTGCAAACAGGGGGAGGACTGCTGAAGTTAAATATGGGAGAGGTAGGACTTACTGATACCCAAGAACAGTCCCCAAGCAAGGAAGGAAGGCATGCAGGCAGGACATATAAAGGGATGCACAGTACAGTGCAGGAGGGATGCACAGTACAGTGCAGGAGGGATGCACAGTACAGTGCAGGAGGGATGCACAGTACAGTGCAGGAGGGATGCACAGTACAGTGCAGGTGATAAAAGCGAGGCAGAGACATGCTTATAAACACAAACGATGAGTAATTTATGCCGTGTTCCATTTACCTCCGAGGTCGGACCTCGGAGCTGGGAATGACATCACACACATGAGTTAAACACACTCCAGTATAGCAAGTCAGACAGCAATTTAGCAATATGAGGGACCCGTTTTAAAAAAGCAAGATTTCTTGCTTAGCCAGATAAATTGGGCTACCATAAATCCGACAAGTTAAATGGCCTTACACTTAGCCCAGACTACCTTAAATCCGACAAGTGATCTGACTAAGTGAGAAATCCCGTTTTCTTAAACCGTTCCCAGTTATAGCCTGATTGTTAGCCATTGTTAGCAATATCAGTTGATAACACATTACATGGTACATTGCACAGAGAAACACTGTAGCAACACGTCCACAGATAGCGGTTGGACAGTCCTGTGTATACGACAGATTTAATGAGAAATGTAAATGCTATTAAACAGTATAAAACTACAGCTTTAACTTCTGTTGATAAATGGTGCAGCCATTTTGAATTCTGAGCTGGAGGTTGTGTAGATGTCTCGGAGTTCGCGAGGCGGAATTCCGACTTCAGGGGGCGTTCCAGTTGAAATTTCTGACTAGGAGCTCTGAATTTCTGAGTTTAAATGGAACGCAGCATCAATGCAGGTACCATACTGTGGCAGGTCAGAGAGCTGGGTTTGTGCCCTGAACCGGACGTGTTTAGGGACACGGAGATGTTGAGTATTGAAGAAGCAGATAGCAGAAGACAGACAGGAGAGCCGCTGGAGGAGTTGATCAGTTCTCCGCTCAGAGGACGTGCTTCATTACTCAGCAAGGAGCACAGTGTGGGCAGCATCCTCTCCCCCACCCCTGCAGACTCCATCCCAGCCTTCCTCAGAAGCTCGAGCTGCCCCCCTCATCTCGACATCACACCATCAGGAAACATCATAACCCTCACTACGATAAACCCCCAAAACGTGCAGTGACCTGCTGTAGAAAAGTGACCTACTCTGCAAGCAAGTCCAGCTGGTCATTGATGCTCACCCTGGGGGGGGGGGGTTGCTTACCTATCAAAGGGCAGCTCTTCATTTGAATCTTGCCGACAACACCCCTTTTACTTGCTAACCTCGTCAACTTACCGAGCTGATAACCACTGTCGTAGTACCATTTTATACTGGTTGCAGTTAACCTGGCTCTGATAAAGTAACTCTGGCTAGGTTAAACTTGCTTTGCAGTAAATCACACTGATCTCTTTCCATACTTCCCTCTTGCCGTCATTCTCCAGCATATATCGAGTCCCTATAATTTCTCTTTGCCTCTCGATATTCCTCTTCACATCCATCTTCATGAATCTGACCTTCTCCCTGTTCCCCATTAGGACAGCCACAGTCTTGGATACCCTTTGTGATCCAGGTCTTGGTATGTGGGACACAACACATTGTTCCCCAGGCGAATAATTACACCCATGCAGCCACTGATGTAGTCAGGGATGCAGTCAGAGAGCCCATCAATTTCCTTATATACAGCATATAAACGACTCCCAGACTATGGTGGAAATCTATTCGCTGTCACCAGTGATGATTATGAATATGATGGGGCAGTGCGATTGGAAGAATGTGACAGACGAGCGCATGACCTCACCCGTGCAATCCGTCTCAGGCTCCGAGCCACTGTTTAATATCGGGGAAGAAGACTTTTTCTTCCAGTATGACACGATCAGAATTACACCGCTTGGAGTTAACAGAAACCGCTATACCATCCACTTTACCTTCCCAGTTAACTCCAGTAGGTGTACACTGGCTTAAAGCCCTAGTGTGATGCTGAATTCAGCCAAGCTTTTGCATCTATGACTCTCTGAAGCACATTAAGCTGCACTCCCGGTCCTTTTGGCTAGGTACCCAGGCGTGCAGGTGTCTCTCTCAAATTAATTCCTCCCAATTTGCCTTGGCCAGCTGTCAACTAGGAAACCGCACAAAGAAGCTAGCAACAGCAAAGAACTTTATGCTACAGCTACAAACTGCTTGGAATAGTATGTTCTTTAAATAATATGTCCCATATTTTGTTAGTGTACTCATTTTCAAATGTCTATAAAATAACGGAAATACTCGCAGTTTGTAAACAGGACCACAGGCCACCACAAGCACCCCGGGCACCGGCATCGCGCCTTGGCAGAGTCTCGCGGTGTCTGGAACTCTCCGGAAAGGAAGGCAGTGGTTTTACGGCATGAGAAATCCCTCAATTTGACATTTTGTTGATGGTGGTGGAAAGTGCTCTCTTAAGTACTGCGCCAGGACCCCCTGCTGTGCTCGGCCGTCGAGAATTGGGGATCCAAATGAGTACTCGTGAGTACTCGTGCTTAGACCACGTGACCAATCGTGTGGATGGGGCAACTTCGTTCTTGATGACGCCAAAGCCAGCATGAAAGAGATGCTTCACCATGAGCCGAATATAATCCCTCCAAATGACTTTGCATACTTTGGCATCTATCTTTCTCAATGAGCGGTTATGAGGTCTAAAAGATACCAGGAAAATGCAGCCCATGCAAAAACAGAGCCCTTAAACCATGGAGAACACTCAAGGCAGTACTCATATGCCTTAGAGAAGGGCGAAGGACGGCTCATCCCTCTTTCCTCTGCCACTGATCAGCCAGTCGTCTTGCATGCTGAACCAAAGCACAGACGCCACACTCAACGAATGCGTGCTGATTCAGTTACACCCAGATGACGGTGTCTTTCTTCTAACCGACATGGATTTCAACATCGAAGCTCAAGTCTACAAACACTTCAGCCTCCGGCCAGTAAGGGGCGCCCCCACCTGCTCCTCGAGCATCATGCGCACCGATCGCTCCTTATCCAGCTGCTGCCGGAGCTCGATCATCTCCCTGCGCAGGTCCTCCACCTTCTCCTCCTCCAGGATATCCGGAGACCCAATCCCTTCATCCTTCTCCTCGGCGCGTCTCCGCTTTGGCGACGAGCCGCTGAAATCCTGCGGACACAAGCCCCGATTATGCAACGTGACGGTACGACCGATACTTATGTGTCAAAGCCACAGAAATAAAACTTCATTCTGTCAAAGAGTGACCAATTGATGCACCATATTCAGATTGTCAACAAAGGCAAAACATACTTATGCTCGTTATCAAGTAAGAAACTATTAGCTTCTATGATTTTTTCCTTAATTACCTGATTAATTTAAATCATTATCCATATCATTAATAGCCCATTATCGCCGACAGCAGAAGGCACTACAATCATCACAATTAACTCTCAGATGCTGTTGCTAACAAAAACAAGATAACTCTTATGCCAATACTCCATATTTGTCCATATAATAAATTTAAAAATGGAAGGAGGACAGACCAAACTAGAGGCATAGCGGGTCTGAACAGTAAGTATCTCACCTGGATGAAGCGCTTGAGCTGATTGTTCTGCTGAAGTAGCCGGGTTTTCTCCTGCTCCAGACAGAAAATGTAGTCTGCAGGATGGCGGCCTGTGAGGGACAATCTTGTTGAGCCAATTTGGAGAGACCTCCACGGCAACAAAGACGACGCTCAAGGCATCAACCAGCGGACAAATGCGCTGCCTGGGAAACTCACGATGTTTATGGAAAGGTCCAAAAACCGGAAGCCATTATATCGAGGACATCAAGGACACTGATCAAGACAATCAGCAATGAAGAACATGATAAAATTCACGAAACCCCGAAGGGAACGGCATGCCAGGCTTCCTGTCCATCACAGGGCACCAGAGTTGACGATATTTATCCATTTCTGTGGTTATCTGATGAACTGCCTGCTATTTTGCAGCGTTAGCAGATTTCAGCCTAATTATCAAAAACTAAAAATGCCAAAAGACTTATTTTGTTTGGTTACTTATGGTTACGGTTAGGGCTGGGTAGGGGTTAAGGTCATCGTGTTAGGATTACCACCCAATCGGTGTGCTTATTCGTAATTATTCTACATGTTATTGGCTGAGGCTGCTGTCAGTCAGGAATAACCCCGTACTTGCTTACACGGAAATGCCCGCCCCTTCTGCCACTCAGTTTGGCAGAGATAAGTTTGAGATACGTAATTTGAGCTGTGCATAATAAAAACTGGATGGAATAAGACATCACCTCACTGCCCTGATCAGATAAGCTGCAGGACCGTCTCCTCACTGGCAGATTCTCGAAGTCCCTGAACTGTACGTGGCGGCAGGACGTCACCGTGTCGCTGTCTTTCCGTCTCGCTCACCTTGCTGAGCTTCTCCCCGTCGCTGTGTGGGATGAGCGTCTTCAGCGACTGGAAGCCTGCATTGATGCTCTGCATGCGCCGCCGCTCGTTGCTGTTGGCGATCTCCCGCCGGATGCGACGCTCCTGGTCCCGCGCCGTCTCGGGGGTCAGGGGGATGTTGGCCAGGCTGAGGGGGTGACAGGGCAGAGTGCTACTAACATGGACCCATATTTATCGTCACGTCTAGCCTAGAGCCAGGGCAGGCAACCCTCCCTGATCCTGCAGTGCCGGAACCCAGCAGGTTTTCTATCCTGCTTGATGAGTTACTATCAGCTGTGGTTCATCAGAGGCCAGGTAGGCCACGGGATAGGAACCCACAACCTTCTGTGGACAGGCACAAATCCCTGCAACCTACTAACCTGTTTAAACTACATTCACTTTAAGGTAGAAAACAGTAGCCACTAGATGATCTACTGGCAATTATACATGTATTTATGAGTGTATATGTATATATAGAGCATTATAATTAACAACTACAGTAACCATAATTCAATTAGGTTAACAATCACATGAACTGGCTGCACATGTGATTTATGTTAAAAGCACAAAACACTACATAAAACATAGTAGCCAAGGACGACTAGAAGAATCGCTGAACTGTGAACATACCATGGGGAGATTCTAGCAGTCTGCCCCACAGCGCACAATAACGGCCAGGATCAGGACAGACCTGTTCTCCATTATAAACCAGAACAACCAGCCGCGGGGCTGTTGTTCACGGTACAAACTTTGGAAACCGCTCCATCAACTGTGTACGCTGCCCCCCCCCCAGTCACACATCCAGATGCTTACCCAGTGAGTTACCCTGCCCAGGGTGAACAAGACTACAACACTGATCATCCATCAAGGAGGAGCGACTGCACACTCAAAAACCGAAAGTATTTAGGGATGAAAACAAAAGCCAGTCTCTTGAATAACAAACTGTAGGTAGAAGTGTAAACAAAAATGACAGATGATTTGGAACTGACTAGATAGGAGCCTTAATGAAGACAAAAGCCCATTCGGCAGAGAATATACGGCAGAAACAGACAGCAAAGGCATATCCAGTTTGAGAGCTCCTGCCCCCCCTCCCCCCCCCCATAGCCATGGGACTGTTACACGGGCGGTATAACATCTTAAGTTGACATCCTGGGTGTCGAGAGGAACGTGGGGATTCTCAAAGACTTGTGTCCCCTGTGAGTGTCTATGCAAACACACCTCGGCACCAACATCAGTAACAGAAAAATGGCCAGTCAATGATTCCCCTCTCGATCTATGCTGCACCATCTATTAACATGGCCTGATAAGTTAACGTGCCTCTTCCAGAAGCCACACAAGCAGGGGAATTACACCCATGCTCATACTTTCAATACAACCACTCACTAGGCTGCCGATTCAGCCTCTGTTGTTAGTTACTGTGCCACTGAGAAAGTTACTTAACCTGAACTGTTCCAATACAATGTCCAGTTAAATTAATTGACGATATTGTTGGCCACACTGGCCAACAGTGAGTCCTTAACCACAGAGTTCTTCCAAACATTTAATCATGTCAGACTTTTAGACAAAGCTATAAAAAAGGTTATTTCAGGTTTCCATTCACATTCAGGTTTTAGACATTTTATATGAAATATTTCCTCATGCAGAGAACAAGTGCTCATCTTAGTTTGACACCTGCAGGAAGCAGCGTCTCCGTCATCAGGAAATATCCCACGTGGGCGACAGTCTGTGACACGACCACAAACTCACAGGGAGTCAGGTCAAATCAAGAGTGTGGAAAAATAGCCGCGTTTCTGCCTTTTGTTCAAACTCTACACCACACTAAACACATTCCTGTCACAAGAACAACAGGATGACAACGCGAAGGTAAAAAAAAGTTTCGGGCATATAGCCAGGCGAGAAAACAAGTTTTAACAGTGTATGGTGGATATGCGATTCTACTGAACAGCAACTACGTAACATTATACAGCTTTCGCCATTTGTTCCAAACTTTCTGGTCAAGAGACAGGAGACAAAGGACAAGCTGATGGCTCAAAGTCCCCTTAGACAGGGACGAAAAATTGTTTTAAAAACTTTACTTGGCATATTCTGTGATGGTCGGCTGTCTCAAATTGTTCAGCTGAACTTTATACTGAATCTGCCCTTTAAAACGGGCAATTGCACAGTAGCATTGAAAATATATCTTAAGGTTATGGAGGATGCACATAAGTCAATAACCAGAGCAAACTTAATCACAGCTGGAGTCAATGGAATTCGCTCATAGATTCAATACGGGTGGAGTCCTAATAGGAGCGTCTGCAGAACAAGAGGTAAATTAAAAGAAAGACATCAAAACATGTCCTCGTTTTATTTCAGGAAGTTGCCAGTTGTGTGGTAAGTACTGCAGGACACCCTCCGTGTGTACTCTGCATGTATTACGGTTCTGCTTAATTTTAACTTTCATAATCCGGGATCATGCCCGACCCCAGGGCCCCCAGTCCGCAGCGGCTGCCGCCACCGGCGTCTCGCGCACCGAAGGACTACATTTCCCAGCCTGGCCGCAGACTGGCCTCCGCTCGTCCAGGAACAGCGATGGGCCTGGTAAAGACACACACCCCCTTTGTTTAAAAGGCACCCCCCTAACAAGCCTCTTCCACCTTTGTAACCCGCATATCCGTGCGTGTTCGCCCCCGGAGCCCCCGCGTTAGGGATCTAAGGTGGTCGGCAGAGGTTGTAAAGGGGCTCGATCCGAGGGCTCCGCCGCCCAGCAGAACAATGCGACCCCGCTTCCTGCGCCGCCAGCGCCCGGCGGCATGGCAGACCGGCGGGGGAGACGGATCTAAATTAGCTGCGCTTAAACATTTCTTATTTATTATAGGTAGAATTTAGGCAATCTGCGTTGCATTCTTTAAGATTTAAACGATGGCGACGGCACGTCGCAGAAAAAAAGCGGAGCGAGACGCCAGATGTGCCCGACTTTGGGCGCAAGCATGGCCGCTTTTAGCCTCCCGATGCCTCCAGCACGTCCCGCATATCCGCGTCGGCTGCCCATGCAGCTCCGCAAACGCGCCGCAAAAACCCAGCCGCTACTCGTCAGCATTTAAACCCGCAAAGGAGCACAGAAAACGTGCAGCTAGTCGGTGAAATTCGGGGCGGATTTTTACGGAGCAGCCCGAGGCGGCGGCAGCGTGGTACTTATAAAAACCACGTGGTTAATGTTTGCCACACACAAAATAAGCCGATTTCGCGCAGAATTCGGCCAAAAAGACGGGTTAACGGGATGGGTCGCTGTTAGACAGCCTCGGCCCAAGGTATAAATAACGACATTAAGCGATCGGCACCGAGCAGGTACTGCTTCCTTGTGTATCGACCGTAAAGTACATCAACACGAATCGGAACAGGCACGCTGCCTTGCAGGTTCCCTCACCCATGAAAAGCATGAAATGCGCGTCGACCTTACAAAAATGGCCCATCAAACGCAGAAAGTGGACAGAGCAGCGCACACACCTGCACAGACCGCCGATGACTTCTTTCTCCGTTTTCCTGAAATGCTGTAAAGACACCTTCTGACCTGGTACCATGAAATACTCCATGCTTTTCTTTCCAGTTTGGGGTACTTGATTCGTCCTTTTTACCTCTTCCTCTCCGCGTGCAAAATTATATTCGCCCCGTGTTTGTTCTATTCCTCCCCCCCCCCAAAAAAAACCATCAAAAATATTCGTAGTTTTCCTTCACGTATCACATGCAATTCGGCTGCGCGCTCAGAGCTGCAATAATGCCGTGCTTCCAGCTGATGGGGGTTCCCTCTCTCCGTGTGTGTCGTCCTGCCCCCGCTCCCAATCTGCATCTACGCCTCTGTGTGTGTGTGTGTGTGTGTGTGTGCATTTGCAGCTGATCGGATGTCTTTCAGGGCGGGAAACAGCTGGTTGAAATCACACGACAGCTTCCTTGCTCGGAATATAGGGGCTTACTTGTAAACAAAGGGTCATTTAAACATACGTGCTGGGGGGTCTTTATAAGATAATACTCCGAAAAGCAGAGGGAGGGGGGATTTACCACCGCTGCTTCTTTTAACGTATAAGCAAGTGTTTTAAACAATCGGCGCCAATGCCAATTATTAAACCGTCTGTTTTCTGTGGGCATACGGTGGACGAAATGCAACTCCATCTGAATCGACGTCCCGACAAGTCTGCGTGAGTGTCCCCCCCACCCCCACAGGGTTATGTTCCTGTTACGCTGGGGCTCCGGCAAAGTGGGTCAGCTGACCGGTTCGTCGGGGTTCGGCTCAGCCCGACGTCGCTCCCATTTTGTGGGCGTGTTGGAGTAGGAGGGGTGTTACCTAACCCCCCCCCCTCCCAGCGCGGATGCCGTACTACAGGGCGCTAAGCATTCCCACAAAATGGGGGCGCCAGTAACACAAGCGGAAACATTTAAAAAGGGTTTATAGTACCTCTCTCTCTCTCTCACTCTCTCTCTCTCTCTCACACACACACACACACACACGCAATATTCATTCCTTGAATATTTACAGTATGAATATTGTGTGTGTGTGTGTGTGTTGTGTGTATTCAAAAGGTACCACTTTAGATTGGAACTGAATTTTTTTTTTTTCGTTACATTGCATACGCAGTTTTAACATCTGGAATTGATAGGCTACCAGTAAAACAAGTCTGCTTTGCGCTTAAAACAAAAAATGTATTTAATGTAGGATTAATTTGACTTGTGTTTAAGAAGAAGTACCTGTTAAATAGTTAATAGTTACTTTGGTATATGCTTGAATCCTCGGCATGCGTTTGGTAACATGATAATTCATTTCACCAGATATTTTTGTTCACATTTTAAAAACAGAATAAACCGTTTTATGGTTTAATCGATGTTGCTCTTGAAAGTCTACGGCATACTCGGGTCTAAACTATTACCTATAATTAAGTACTGCATGTTCAACATATATTTATAGCGCCTGCTGCCATGTTAAATGAACATGTTGGCGTGATCTCCTCATTGAGGCGCACAGAGATCTCCGCTCCCAAGCTAAGGCTTAAGCTGAACTTTAAACTGATTGCTAGATCAATCAAACTGCATTTGAAGTGTGTATGTGTATTTCTGTCGTAGTTACTTGTTCTGGCATATCGCCTACTACCTGCATATCGCACTGCCCTGTCTGTCTGCACAATATTATGTCTTGTCTTATTTGCATTAAGTGCACACTGTGGACCATGAGCTTCGCCATTTCGTCTCTCTGGTAAAATCACCACGTTTCTCAGATATCCTTCCGTATGAATGTGCCACATCTCACACTATTCTGACAGGATTTGTACGTCCGTCTGAAGATCCTTTTTATTCAACATATAGGCCTACAGAGACTCGTATCCATACAACAAATGCTAAAGTTTTCTAGAACCCTAAACTTTAAAAGAACATAACCATAATCACTATATATATCCTGAAAATTCAGAATACGTGTCTCCCTTCAGAGATTCAACTCGTAGGCTTTAACACGCGAGTTAATGTATACGCGCTGCTGCTTTACCGCCCTCTACTGGACACTCCTGATTCATCTCCGGTGACTCCAAAGCAAGCTTCTCTACTATCAGCACAGTACAGTACAACCAAAGTACAACCTCCATTTAGTTTAACGGAATAGAATAGAAAATCTGTATTGTCATCGTAAGTGCACAATAAAATTTGGTATGCCACTTCAGTGACAATGCAGAAAAAAATAAAGAAAATAAGTTAAAATGTGTGTGTGTGTGTGTGTGTGTGTATATATATATATATATGTATATGTGTATATACACACTCTAGAAACGAATTTGAGAAAAATAATCCATTACATTGACATCAAACTGTGGTCAAGTTGCTTATTACATGATTAATTTGTTTTTGTAATTCTAAAAAGCCCGTAGGTGCTCATTTTTGGGCATTGAACACTTCAGACATCCAGTCTGGAGAGCAGGTGGCCATGGGAACCATCCATCCATCCCTTTTCTGAAACGGCTTGTCCTGCTCAGCGTTGCGGGGGCGCTGGAGCCTATCCGGGCGCAAGGCAGGGAACAACCCGAGCCGGGGCGCGAACTCACCGCAGGGCACACACACCCCATTCATCCTGGGAACCATCTCTTCCCAAATTTCCAAATCAAGTGGCGCGCGTCTGTGATCACAATACAGGTCAAAACATTCCACAATTATCAAGAGTAATAGCGTGTGAACACACAGAAACGGAATGTAACCGTCATTATTTATTGTGTCAACAAATCACTTAATTATTTACAATATTACCCTTCGTTATAAATCGCTTAATTAAATACACGCAGAAGGATATTAGCCACCTGATTAAGAGAAGGCTTGTGTAAGTGAGCCTATTTTTAGTATGACTTTGTCTAAGACTCTGAACAGTTTCCTGTCTAATTCCATGGTTTAGATTAATGTTTAAAACACAGGCATTCACTTTAAAAGTAAGATTAGCAGCGGAGACTGAAGTGGGGGGGGGGGGGGGGGAGTCGACAGTGCAGTCCAAGAAAGGAAATTGGGGCGGTTTTGCTTTAACTGAGAAATGGAAGGACTCATTGCTTTACAATGTGGATGAAGCGTGGTGTGGGGTGGGGAGTGGAGGGAGTGTGTGTGTGTGTGTGTGTGTGTGCAGGGAAAGAGTAGACAAGAGAGACCTTTGGAAGGGAACGGAGGACGGCCCACGGCGGAGAGGCGGAGCAGCAGGCATGCGCTGAGCTGGCAGACCCGGGGCTGGTCCGAGAAGTAGCGAAGAGGGGCGCGGGTGCTGTCTGCGTCCAGGCGGCCGCAGGGAAACTACCGTACGATTCGCCTCTCATTCATGGCGAAGAGGATAGACGCGGAGAATAAAGCAAGGGCAACAAACTAATAAAGAAGACACTGCATTCTGGGAAAGAAGCAAAGAAGGGAGTCCCTTTCGCCATCTCCCAGCGCTTTCTCTCCCACCTCCCGAGGACGACCACCCATTGAAAAGGCACTTGACCATCGTCGCCTATAAGCGATGCACATTGAATGGAAGAAGAAATAGACAACCTTTTTGTGAAAAAAACACATTATTTTTAATTTTTCTATTTCTTACATATATATCTATTATATACACTAAACTGGTGTTTTCTTGCGCGCACACGATCAAGTTTATTTTACAAATGGGCGCTTGGAGGCATGATTTTTTCTAATTATTGGAGACGGACATCAGTTATTTATACTGTTCAATAACAGGGACTATTTTCTCCGTCTAATCGATCTTTTATGTTGCTACTCATTTGTTTTATAGTACATCGACAATGCTCCGCAAATCGGCTGCTTAACTCGACGTTTGGATCGCGGGTGCGCGTTTTTCCGTCCGCCTGTCATCTCAAAAATAATACAGCGCACAAAACAGAGAAGTATCGTCGGCAGCGAGAGCGATCCGTCTGTGAAGTGAATGGAAAGTTACACACCAAGGAGGAGAAAGTAGAAGCGATACTCCGAGCACATCCAGAAAAGACGGGCTTTCTCCAAAGGTAAATCCCGGCGTTTCTCACCCTCCCTCCATCCGTCGCCGTGCACTGGGCGTTACACTGGCAGATGTCGCGTCATGTTGCACTTTCTCGTACGATATGTATGGATATGAAGGGCATGAGTGTACGTGTGGAGCCCGATGCATGTAGATGCGTTTGGACTTTTGGCTGGGAAGCTCTAATAATTTTTTTCTCCCATGCGAGTAAACGATGCGCGACCGACGGTGACACCGCCGGCCCGTCGCTGCACTTGTTTGGATGCACGTTTCACTTCAGTGTCTCCGGCATAATCAGTCATAGATGCCGCCGCCTTAAGCGAGGGCGAATGTCACCCGTGTCATTTGTAAGTCCGTCACCCCCACTGGGCGTATCGCCGCAGGTGACTCCCGCTGTCAGCCCTCGCATGCCCGGCTACCTGTTATGTTCCAGCAGAGCGGCTTTAGGTCTAACGGGGATCCGCCGAGCGAGCATCTGGAGCTGGAGCTCATGCTGTAAAGCACCGTGCTCGTCTTCCTTTGTCATATCTCGTTTTGAGCGCACACCGTGCCAGGCATTTAAAAATACAATTAAAAATGGTTTTCATTAGTAATGACGTTTGAGAAATGGGTAATTTGATGGACGAATATTTGAAAATCGCCAGTGTCTCAGGCAGTTCTATAGTATATAGCCTACTAATAAAGGTATGAGGTAATACTTTATACGATTTCAAAAAACCTCCCATTAAACAGCTTTTTTTTCTGTCTCTGGTTGCTTTATTGACAGAACAGTAGATCAGGGTTTTTATACAGGGTAGTCCATGTCACCATATTAACCCATCGATGGAACCATTTCCATTTGCAAAGGGGGAGCGAAAAACTATACACACAGAGACACACATATACTGTATATGTTTATGTGTTTGTGTATGTTTGTTTGTCTGTGCGTGTGTATAGACCGCTCTGAGCGGTCGCGGATTTTCAGAGCCGAGTCGCGACTGACCTGGTCAGACCGGACCAGAGGTCAAACGCGGTCAGGCGATGTATTATTTCATGAACGTCGCGACAGCCTTTCACCCACAAGACACAGTGAGTTAGTTTGCAGCTGGATGGTTACGTCGTTGCCTTCAGCCTGGCTAGTTATCGACACCCTGCCGTGCTTTAATTGAAGTCACTGCCTTCACGGCCGCGCGCCCAGCCCTTCCAGCTGCACGGTCTGCATGCCGCTCGTCTCAGCCTCGAGTTACCCAGTAACCAGGATCCCCGGATCCAAGGCTGCTTGTTTTCCCCGTCTTTCCCAGCGTAGCCTCTACCCGGCTGCCCCTTTCTGTTTGCAGATCCTGGTTCCTCACACACTTCCATCAACACCTACAAGGTCAATATTGATTAAACAAATGGATTACTCAGTGGGGCATTGATCTGATATCATATCACTCAAGCCTGTTGAAGTTTTGTTTGTTTTTATGTATTTTTTAGTACAAAGGCAAACAGATGTGTGCATTAGAATGTGGCTTAAGTACGTAATATCCATC